GTTACTTTTGGTGGCCCAGCACACACACAACTTCATGCAAGGCATATACAAGTCTAGGCTCAAGCAAAGCTGGCTCAAACTATTGGCTTTACATTAGGTTGTGGAACATTTGTATTGTCATAGTCGAAGCTCGATGCATAGAAGCATCCCAGCGTGTAAAGAAAATAGTTTGATGGAATCATTATCAAATGCCAGATCAATAAAATGGATACCAATAAAAAATTTGTACCCATCACAGATGCAAATATTAGAGAATGTCAGATAAATAAAAATGGACAGCTATCAAACATGCATACCCATCACAGATGCAAACAGTAGAGAAATGACAGTTCGTTAATTGGCAGGGTTAATCAACAGATTATCCTCATTTCTCATCAGATAAGCGGCTGGATCACATCTTCAGTATATCCCTCAGCATGTGGCAACTGATGACGCCAATTCTGCATTAGTTTACTATTTTTCTTTGGCTACCTATAAAGAGTTCATGTCTGGGGACACCTCTTTTGACCTGAAGTTTTTGTAGTCTTTTGAGTGTTGCCGATTGACTTGTGGTCTCCTGAATCATCACCTCATCACGCCTCCCCTTGTTTTTCCTGTACCTACCATGGCCATGCTAGCAAGCCAATCAGGTCGTTGATTCCCTCTTACCACAGTTTCCTGGCATAAAAATAAAACTGATTCCTATCAGTCCAGATTTCCTCAGCGACACCAACCATTTTTTTTAGTATCTGAAAAATTTGAGAGGTTCTGCAGCATGCTGGCGCAAATCTCTATATGAACTTATTGCACATATAAGATGCCTTGGCCCACCTCATGATATACAGCTGCAATGGTTGGATATGAAGAAGGTATTACTGACTGCATATGGCAAATCAGATATAGATCCAATGGACCTTGATGTGCATGAAACACAACATTTAATGGTATTGTATCCTGTAATTGTATATTGGCATTTCATGATGCAATGAAGAGAATGGAGAGTAAGAAGCAAAAACGAAATAGATAAGGTGCATGAACCACCACTAACTACTGGCAGAATTAAGGCTAACGGACTGCTGTTGATTGGTCATATAGGAATGATGGCAGACAACATGTCGATACAAACTCTAAACAAAAAAAGAGTTGAACGTAAGTAGGTCATGGGGTGTACCAAGAAGACAGTGAAGAAAAAATTTACAAGCAGAGCTACAAAAAATTAGAATTATGAACTGTATTTAAGAAGCAAAAGAGACATGAATGAAGGCAAGTGATATCTGGCAACAATGAACCCCAAAGGCTTGGAATGCTAAAGAAAACAAGAATTAACAAGAATTAACATTCTTTAACTAGATCTTTCTACATCAAACTGTCAAGGTTTGTCTTTACTGTTTACTACCTTCAAAACCATGCTCTGACTGTTAAATAAATCGCTTTGATGGTCATCCAAACCTAGCAACCATATGGAAAACTGACGGGGATGAAAAATGGACAAAGAAGCAAAGGCAGCAACAGCAAATTATAAAGAAAATGCATGTAGCTCCGAGTTTACATTCAATTAAATTGATGATTAAAAACACACACAAGAAGAATGAACACTAATGTGGATTCATAACTGGAAAGGAAGACTGGCATACATTGTTAAACTCTCCAACAAGAGAATAACACATCAGCTCAAATTACTTGCATGAAAACATACACAGGAAACAGCTTGGAATGGCTTGTTTGTTCATACAGGAAAGCAACTTTGCTGACTGTCAGAAACACAATAACATACATTCGGGGGGGGGGGTGGTGCAAGAATGAATAATTATATAATTTTGCAATAGCAAAAGTATAAGTCAGAAAACATAAACAGCCATTATAAGACACAAAATATACAGAGTATATCACAATTATAATTTAGAAGTGTCGAATTTGATTTTATTGGTATATTTTTCAGCTCTGTGCACCTTGAGACATAAATGTGAATAGATTTTAAGACAGCAGCATATTGTTTTCGATGCCATAGACAGTTGTCAATGAAAAAGTGTTCAGTTTTGGGGCACAGATCTAAGCTCAAAATGCTACTGGCACCATAGTATCGGAACTCTTCCCTGGCAGCTGAAGATGTGGATGGAGCACTTATGGGAATGCCCCGAGTGCTGTGATGTCGGTTCTTGAATCAAATCAAATCAATCAGATCTAAGCTGAAGATAAGAGAGTTGCTTAGAATCGTGGACTCTGGAGATTTATGATTAGAAAAGCAGCTCTCCATGTTTTTTAAGGGGAGAAATCTACTGCATCTTAACTCTTTCAGTCCCAGTGGGTTTGTTAACTGAGACCAAAGGGTGGTAAAGAGAAACATATAATCAGTGCTTCTTGCATTCATTGGGCTTCTAGGTAAGAATCTAGGATGCCTTTCTTGGGATATAAAGAGTTAACAAGTGAGTCGTAAAAGCTGACTAATTGAGGAATCCCTGAAATTCTATGTGTTGGGCCAAAAAGTGCAGATATTGCAGCCTAGCTGTAAACAAGAGCATAATGTGTCAGTCGCTTTTTTAAGGAAGAATGCAGAAAAGAAAAAAGATAAACAACACCCAACTTTGGACTGAGTGACCCAATGAATAAATGCCTTACAACCACCACCTGACTTTGGATTGAGTGACCAATTAATGAATGCCTTACAACCATGAGCTGACTTTGGATTGAGTGACCAATTAATGAATGCCTTACAACCATCACCTGACATCTGACTGAATGACCCAATTAAAGAATGCCTTACAACCATCAGCTGACTTTGGACTGAATGACCCAATTAATGAATGCCTTACAACCATCACCTGACATCTGACTGAATGACCCAATTAATGAATGCCTTACAACCATCAGCTGACTTTGGACTGAATGACCAATGAATGAATGCCTTACAACCATCAGCTGACTTTGGACAGAATGACCAATGAATGAATGCCTTACAACCATCAGCTGACTTTGGACAGAATGACCAATGAATGAATGCCTTACAACCATCAGCTGACTTTGGACTGAATGACCAATGAATGAATGCCTTACAACCATCAGCTGACTTTGGACTGAATGACCAATGAATGAATGCCTTACAACCATCAGCTGACTTTGGACTGAATGACCCAATGAATGAATGCCATACAACCATCAGCTGACTTTGGACTGAATGACCCAATGAATGAATGCCATACAACCATCAGCTGACTTTGGACTGAATGACCCAATGAATGAATGCCATACAACCATCAGCTGACTTTGGACTGAATGACCCAATGAATGAATGCCATACAACCATCAGCTGACTTTGGACTGAATGACCCAATGAATGAATGCCATACAACCATCAGCTGACTTTGGACTGAATGACCCAATGAATGAATGCCATACAACCATCAGCTGACTTTGGACTGAATGACCCAATGAATGAATGCCATACAACCATCAGCTGACTTTGGACTGAATGACCCAATGAATGAATGCCTTACAACCATCAGCTGACTTTGGACTGAATGACCCAATGAATGAATGCCATACAACCATCAGCTGACTTTGGACTGAATGACCCAATGAATGAATGCCTTACAACCATCAGCTGACTTTGGACTGAATGACCCAATGAATGAATGCCTTACAACCATCAGCTGACTTTGGACTGAATGACCAATGAATGAATGCCTTACATGTGAAAACTGTTAAACACGGATGCACAGCTGGTTATTAGTTATCACTTTTTGTACAATATAGATTGGCTTCTTATAATTTCAGTGAATCTAGAGCTGAAAAAAAGGCACTATAGGTGTATAGACGATATATACTGAGAACTTTTGATAGTTCAATTAGAAGAACACTTCTCTTGAATCAACAAACTGATATAAATAATGAGATGTTAACAAACATATGAGAATTACAGAACTCAATGAATAATATGGGAGTGATATGGAATGAACTACAAGAGAAGGAAGACTAGTATGGGATGATAAAGACACTATGGTGACATACAAGACAGAAGGTGAAAGAGAAAAGCATGAAAATGAGAACAGGAAGAGTAGGAAGAAGGAGATGGAGGAGGAGGAAGAATAGAAAAAAGGAGTATATTTTTTGTGTGTCACTGGCTATAACTCCGGCAGGAAGTTCTGGTTCTTTGTCCACCTCTAGACAATATGCTTAGCCCAGAACCTGAGTGTCGCGTGCACATCTGTTTTATAGATCTGGCTTATTTGTATGCAGACTGCTGGTTCCTTGCTGACTTCACAGGAAGCCTCCAATCAGTCGACTCATACGACATACTTTTTACAAAGGTGGTGGGTCTATTTTTGTTCCCCCCCCCCCACCCCCCACACAATAGGGCTGGGAAACCCACACAGGCTGAAGAATTGTGATGGTGACAAAGCAACACAAGCAAAAGCTCCAGCAGCGCAATAAAGTGCATCAAATTGCAGGTAAAAAATCCTCATGCATTTCATCAAAGACAACATGTGCCCATGTTTTTTTTTTTATCATAACATCTACAAAAAATGCTAAAATTTTTTTTTTCTAAATCAAATTGTCAAAACCATGCAAAGTATAGTCTTAAACAGCAAAATATGGTCAAGGCATGCACACTATGTTCTTCCTGTATAAATTAAAATAATGTAATTACTGACAAGAAAAAAAAAAGGGGAAAAACTTAATAGCCTATAAGTGAATTTGCCTGAAAATGAGACAATTAAAAAATGGTGTATCTGGAATCAAAATATAGAGAAACGTGCAAGGAGTTGACAGAAACTTGCAAATTAGACCTCACAATATTAAAGGTTGCAATATTTTGTTGAAAAACAAATATAATGAGATTACAATGTTTCAAAATACTACTGAAACTCAAGTTACTCATCAAAAAAAAAAACAAATTGGTTAGGGCAAACGGCTACATGAACAGAATAAAATAATAATTTAAGTGCGGCAAGATTATGCAGGCCAATCAGGTGAAAGCTTACAGGCGGGACTGGCTGTGCTGCCGTCTGCTGGGAGTGTCTTACCTCTGGGTTCATGAGGACTTCCCTCATCTCAAAATCGGTTCTGTTGTCTTCAATGAGAGCTTGGCTGTCTTGGGCAATTCCATTGAGATTTCTGAGCTTTTTATCAGCACCCAAGCTTGACTTCCTGTGTCTATCTTTATCTCGCTTCGTGTGTCGTCGCCATGAAGATCTCTGCCTCTGTTTACTGGATTCCATTGCTCGAGCTAAGACTCTCTTGGTTATATTGATAATAAGGAACCAGTTATCTCAATACCAAATTTTCTAGTTCAAATTTAAGGTAAAGAAGATAATCTAAAAAAAAAAATATTGCTATAGCAATGTAGTAGTGGTAATATCTGAATAAAGATATTGCTATAGCGATGTAGTAGTAGAAATATCTCAATAAAGATATTGCTATAGTGGTGAAGTAGTAGAAATATCTCAATAAAGATATTGCTATAGCGATGTAGTAGTAGAAATATCTCAATAAAGATATTGCTATAGCGATGTAGTAGTAGTAATATCTCAATAAAGATATTGCTATAGCGATGTAGTAGTAGTAATATCTCAATAAAGATATTGCTATAGCGATGTAGTAGTAGTAAAATCTCAATAAAGATATTGCTATAGCGATGTAGTAGTAGTAAAATCTCAATAAAGATATTGCTATAGCGATGTAGTAGTAGTAATATCTCAATAAAGATATTGCTATAGCGATGTAGTAGTAGTAGTAATATCTCAATAAAGATATTGCTATAGCAATAAAGTAGTAGTAAAATCTCAATAGCTATAGCGATGTAGTAGTAGTAAAATCTCAATAAAGATATTGCTATAGCGATGTAGTAGTAGTAAAATCTCAATAAAGATATTGCTATAGCGATGTAGTAGTAGTAATATCTCAATAAAGATATTGCTATAGCGATGTAGTAGTAGTAAAATCTCAATAAAGATATTGCTATAGCGATGTAGTAGTAGTAAAATCTCAATAAAGATATTGCTATAGCGATGTAGTAGTAGTAATATCTCAATAAAGGTATTGCTATAGCGATGTAGTAGTAGTAGTAATATCTCAATAAAGATATTGCTATAGCGATTTGGTAGTAGTAGTTTAAACAACAACATTCTGTTCAACTCATCTGGCTGGATTATAACTGTATATATAGAGATATGTATATTCTTGTGTTGTAAACATCTCCCTAAGGCAAAGCAAGCCAGTTAATTGCTTTGTCACTGGTCACAACAACATAACTGTCTTGGTCTTACTGGAAAGGAAGCACAGAATGGTAACCTAATAATCTACCATGTCAGCCATAAGAGACAATCAAGAAGACTGGTATGTGAGACCATAAGATCCCACAACAATATCGCAGTGTCCGCGGCCAGATTTTCTGGTTAATTCATGTCAACCTTCTGGAAGAGTATGTAAAAAATAAAATAATATTCTATAACAATTAAATTATAATAACAAAGTTTACACGTGCAACCCTCAGTGAACAGTGGAGATGTGCAAATAGATCATTAGGGTCTAAATAGAATGGCACTGCGAGGAGTTACCAGGGGATCTGGCTGACGCCCAACACTCAGGGGAAGGATGAGGCCAATATACATTCAGATGACTACTGGTGCCATCAGAACTTGAACTCTTTGCTTGCTGCTGAAGATGGGGGATGGAGCACTTATAGGAGTGTTCCGAGCGCTGGGATGTCAATTCTTCATTCAACATTCAATCCTTCAGTTCAGGGTCCCCTTTTTTTTTCCCCAGACGCATTACAATTTAACTATTATCTTTTAGCCTTCGCAGTGCTTTTACAAAGTAAAAGGACCTTTTTCCACGTCTTCAGGAGTACAAGGTACACAAATCTAGACCTATATTTTATAGATGAACTGGCATTCAGTGGGTGATGTGGTCAACCTGTTGCCTTTACTTCACCGGATTTTACCTGGTACTACTTTAAGGCTGGGTCCACCAGAGAGCTGAGTCATTTTTAAAAAACGTCTGCCTCTGTCAGAACGTTAACCCGTGACCCTCGGATCTACAGGCAGGTATGTGGTACTTTTACACATAGGACATTTTCATACACCATTATTTTTTAAATTTTCTTTAGAGGCAACGTAAGAGAGAAAAATCTCCTGTGTGAACCTTTCCTCAATCAGATTATAATATAATTCAATGGAAACTGAAAACAAAACAGAATACAGGTGCAATAAAGCAAATCCAATCACTGCAAATGTTATCAGTATTGCAGAACATCATGCAACAAGTGAGCACTATTCCTTACAGTTCTTTTAACCGACATTGTGTTACCATAAGCAAAATCAAAACAACAGAAGTGAAATGTCAGTAAAGAATCATGAATGTATTGAAAAGAGATAGGAAAAAAAACATAACCATTTCTGGACACATGTTAGGACAGAACTTATGCTGAATTACATCAAGAGACAACCAATCAAATGTTTCAGAATTTCGTAGTCAACAAATGATAGTGCACCACATAGCACTTAGATAAATGATTGTGCAACACACAACCCCTAGACAAATAATAATGCACCACACAGCACTTACACAAGTGTTAGTGCAACATACAGCACCTAGACAAATGATAGTGCACTGTATAGCACTTAGACAAATGATAGTGCACCACATAGCCCTTAGACAAATGAAGTGCACCACACAGCCCTTAGACAAATGATAGTGCAACATACAGCCCTTAGACAAATAATAATGCACCACACAGCACTTAGACAAGTGATAGTGCACCACATAGCACTTAGACAAATGATAGTGCACCACACAGCCCTTATGACAAATTATAGTGCAACACACAGCCCTTAGACAAATAATAATGCACCACATAGCACTTAGACAAGTGATAGTGCACCACACTTCACCTAGACAAATGATAGTGCACCACATAGCACTTAGACAAATGATAGTGCACCTTATAGCACTTAGACAAATGATAGTGCACCACATAGCGCTTAGACAAATGATAGTGCACCACATAGCACCTAGACAAATGATAGTGCACCCCATACCACTTAGACAAATGACAGTGCACCACATAGCACTTAGACAAATAATATTGCACCACATAGCACTTATACACAATGGAAGCAAGTATAGAGTTGCAGAAGGAAACGAGGGATAGATGAATGTTTCATCCATGAATGTAAGCATCTACACAGCAAAAACCAAGGCTCAAACCAGATGCCTCTTTAAAAACATTGACAGGCAGACAGGATCTAGAGAAAAGAAAGAAGAAGAAAGATTACTTATGGTTAGTGTACAGTTTGTGCTGTGAACAAATTACACAACTCTATCATCAGTCTTTCATGTTATCACAGCTGCTCCCCACATTTTGGCCACTGATAATGATTTGTGTAGAAATGTTTCATCTGCATGTTTCTCTAGCAACAGTTTGCATTAATTGTTTCCAAGTTATTGTTCATTTAGTCACCTCAACTTTTCAGGACAGCAGGTGAATATCAGCAGAGCATTGGTTATTGATTTGTATTTGTTTATTCCTAACATGAAATATTTGCTCATTCAGACAAGTGATCTAGGTATATATATATGTATATATATATTTAAAATGTTCCCTTAAAGGATTACGGACTGTAGGATTAACATCTCAGTGATGAAATCAAACAGGTAGAAATCCCAGAAACCTCATTCAACCATATAGCAATAGAGAACAGTTTTACTAGGCCACCACACAAAATGGTTACAGAGTGACCTTTTGTCCAGTATGGGTGGGTTGAGTAGGATCTTGTTATAAGAGGCATGAACTGATAATCTTGCCAGCAGGGCCCCTGTGGAAAGTCGACAAGCAATGGACTAGCCCAGTGGTCGGCAAACTCTTTAGTCAAAAGAGCCAAAAAACAGCAGCAGGACGATTAGTTTTTTTTTTTTTTGGAGAGCTAAATTTCTTTTAAAGAACATAGTCTTTCAGAGTCAAAACCGATTTGTGAATGACTGGCCGAGCCACACTCAGATCCCTAAAGAGCCGCATGCAGCTTGCGAGCCTTGATTTGCCGACCGCTGGACTAGCCTGGCACACTTAATGTCTTCAGAGACATAGGGCAATGAGGTGAATCAAGTGACAACTGTGAACTGGCAACCTTGGCCAGACTGAATGACATCAAGTCAGAACAGGAATTGACAAAGAGCACTTTACAGGAGGCCTAGGAATAATAGTAAACTAACACAGAACTGGTGTCAACATCTCTTAACGCTGGAGGATGGTGTAAACTCAAGAGGGATTCTCTTCAGTTACAGACTGAGGGCTTCCATGTGTGGTGAGTATGAGGATAAATCTGTCACCCATCAGCACTGGAGAGGGAAAGATGGCAGGGGTATTGCAGCAAACATGTCCAATGTACATGGACAATGAACAAACAACTGGAAAATCGTATCAATTCTTTGGAGATGTGGATATACAGAAGATTAGGTCGTATTTCATGGAAACAAAAGCTATCAAATACAGAGGTACTGTGGAAATTGGGAATGAAAAGAGAGTTGCTAGGTGAAATAAAAAAGAGACAAGTGAAATATTTTGGCCACATTAAAAGACATAACAGTATTGTAAAGATCATCCTAGAGGGAAAGGTTCAAGGTAGGCGAGCAAACGGCAGACAGCGTTACAAGTGGGAGGATAACATCAAGAGATGGACGAACAGCAGTATGAGTGAGTGTAAATCAAGGGCAAGAGACAGGGCTTGTTGGAGATCCATTGCAGCCAACCTTCATTGTGAAGACGGCACCTGATTGATTGATGTCCAATATGGCTGACTACCCCGTCAAATGTGTCCTATTACTGACAGTCCTTATTAGGAACAAAACCAAAATAACTAAATGAATGGCACTGGGAACCTTCTTAGAAAGCTGCAATGGACATGGACAAAAGTACCCATTATGAAACTAAACAGCACTATTATTACACAGAATAGCCAAACAGAAGATGTTCAACCAAGTTACCCAATAAGGATTCAAAAAAGCACTACAATCATGAAAGATCACTACATAAGGATCACAGTTATTATCAAAAGCTTTTATATTCTGGTTAAGTGTGAGCAAAACCTTTAATCAATTTCTTCAAAATCAGACCGGATATGTCACCCATTTAATCTGACTTTAATAACAACAATATTAAAGCAACTTCCCAAGAATATGTGCTAAAATACAGATTGACATGTTCCTTTTTTTCACAGCTAAGGTAATCAAAAACCAACTGGCTGTTTTTAGTAAATTTGCTAGAAAATAATCACTTAGCTAAAATTAACCAGCAAACAAAATATAGGAATATAAATTTGTCCCCCAAACTATATTTGTTTAGTTGTGGTATTTTCTGAACTATTTCAGAATTTCAGTGGTATTTTCTGAACTATTTCAGCATTTCAATGGCATTTTCTGAATTATTGGTATTTTCTGAACTATTTCAGTGGCATTTTCTGAATTATTTCAGCATTTCAGTGGCATTTTCTGAATTATTTCAGCATTTCAGTGGCATTTTCTGAATTATTTCAGAATTTCGGTGGTATTTTCTGAAAACAAACTGATAAAAATTGCTCAGCATATAATCCAGCAATATAAATTAAATGCCAGATGGCCAAATAGGGGTTCGTCACCGGACAGTGGTGTTAGTAATCAGTTTCTTTCTTCTCTGTTTATCCTCACCAGACAGTTTTAACTATTATCTGGCCTCCTTCTTGTGAGGCTCAGTTCACCTCAGAGTTGAAATGTGTCCGTATCTTTCCAACATACATATGTGTGTGTGTGTGTTAACATACATACATATTTACACATACACACCTTATATGACTGCATAAATACAAACAACAAAAGCTGAGACAACGTAATAAGAGAAAAATGCACTGTTATTACTTGGTTCAGCAATCAGTAACAAGTATCAATGTTAGTGATGGGGAGTTTATTTGAGTGAAAATTAAAAGTAGACAAAATATAAATGAAAACAACAAAAAAAAGAATGATCATTTGTGAGGCAGAAGCAACCAACACCTCTGGTTAATGGTTTATGGTATTAGCTTGTATTTGTGTTTAGAAAAGGAAGATCAGGACAGGTATGCTTCATGCAGAGTGGCATGCCTCGCTGTGGAGGACACAGGTGAGGAGTATTGTCTGGCGTTTTCTTTTTCACCATGGTACGTCGGTGTGTGTGGGAAATGAACAGGCGGATAGACTGGCTGGCTCTGCACAACTTGGTGGAATACTGATGCAAGATAGGGCAGACGTGGTTAGTGCCTTGTGGGAGAGGGTGTACAGTTCAGAGGAGCAGATGGATCACCAGTCTGGTGAGACTGATGCAGGGGGGAGGTAGGAGAGGTTCTGGCAGATGCTCAAGGCTCAGAGGAAAGGCAAGAGGGATGTTTAATCAGAATGCTACTGGCACCATTAGTATCGGAACTTTTTGTTGGCTGCTGAAGATGGGGACAGAGCGCTTATGGGAATGCCTCGAGTGCTGTGATTTCGGTTCTTAAATCAAATCAGACAAATGTCAGAAAGATAAAAGGCAGATTGGAGGATAGACAGACAGACTCTGATCTTACAGACTGATGAGAATTATTGCTTCCTCTTCTTGTTCCTCCTCTGTCCAAAAGGTGAGCTGATTGTGTTTTTTTTTCTACAGTTGAGATACAGGGGAATCTGGCCGAAGCTAAACAATCAGTCAGGGAAAGGGCAAGATGGACATTCAATTGGACTGTTACTGGTGCTATTGGAACTGAAATCCTGTGTTTGCTGCTAAAGATTGGGACACAGCACTCAAGGGAGTTTCCTGAATGCTGTGATGTTGATTCTTAACTCAAGATGCAGAGTTTGCACATTTTGGTGAAATGTGCATAGACCAAAGAGGTTTAGTGACAGATCTTGGGTGGTGATACAGGGCACATGACAGATCTAAGAGGTTCAGTGACAGATCTTGGGTGGTGATACAGGGCACATGACAGATCTAAGAGGTTCAGTGACAGATCTTGGGTGGTGATACAGGGCACATGACAGATCTAAGAGGTTCAGTGACAGATCTTGGGTGGTGATACAGGGCACATGACAGATCTAAGAGGTTCAGTGACAGATCTTGGGTGGTGATACAGGGCACATGACAGATCTAAGAGGTTCAGTGACAGATCTTGGGTGGTGATACAGGGCACATGACAGATCTAAGAGGTTCAGTGAAAGATCTTGGGTGGTGATACAGGGCACATGACAGATCTAATAGGTTCAGTGACAGATCTTGGGTGGTGATACAGGGCACATGACAGATCTAAGAGGTTTAGTGACAGATCTTGGGTGGTGATACAGGGCACATGACAGATCTAAGAGGTTCAGTGACAGATCTTGGGTGGTGATACAGGGCACATGACAGATCTAAGAGGTTCAGTGACAGATCTTGGGTGGTGATACAGGGCACATGACAGATCTAAGAGGTTCAGTGACAGATCTTGGGTGGTAATACAGGGCACAAGACAGATCTAGAGGTTCAGTGACAGATCTTGGGTGGTGATATAGGGCACATGACAGATCTAAGAGGTTCAGTGACAGATCTTGGGCGGTGATATAGGGTACACATGACAGATCTAAGAGGTTCAGTGATAGATCTTGGGCGGTGATATAGGGTACACATGACAGATCTTAGAGGTTCAGTGATAGATCTTGGGCGGTGATATAGGGCACATGACAGATCTAAGAGGTTCAGTGACAGATCTAAAGTGTGGACTGCACAGATATAAATGAGTTAGAATGGGCAGATCTATGCCACTCGACAGATAAATGAATGAATAAATCAAAAATTGACATCACTACACTCGAGAATTCCCACATGTGTTCTGTCCCCTCATTCAGTAGCCAATGAAGAGTTGACATGCTAATAGTACCAGTTACATCCTGATTAAAAGTCTGCCTGTGTTTCTCCTTCAATACTGAACATCTCCCAGAACCTCTGCTCACTCTTTATTAGTCTTTTCAGTGGATTCCCTATCTGTTCTTTTGCACCATCAATTTGATCCCACAGTCTTCACCACATCTGCTTTATTATATAGTAGCTTCCCGCCAAGAGGAGTGGAAACAGCTAACCCATCAGCCTACTCATTACCTGGCACACTTCAATGTCTGGTCAGAAAATCCATGATATGTTCTTGATCTTGGTCTCATCAAATGATACAAGCTGCTCTGTTAGCAGCACACGAGTTTCAGTTTTCTGAAGCATGGTCTGTAAGTCTGTTACAATCACAACATGTGGGGCTGTGCTGTTCTCAAACCATCTCCAAGCTCCCGTTACTGCCTCCACCTCCATTCTCATACTTGATATAGTGACCTTGCTCTCTGTTTTCAAGCAGTGTCCATTCACCTTTGCAATTAAAACTCCACCCACTCTTTTTACCTCTCACCACAGACCATCTGTATATATTATGTCAGATTGGACAGATCCAATAGGTTCGCTAATAGATCTAGAGTTAGACTGGACAGCTAGAGAGGAGTAAGAATTGGCAGATATATGACCTCGGACTCATCTAATAGGTTAGCTAATAGATCTAGAGAAGAAGTCTTCAAGCTTTTTTGTTTTCAGGTCGTGCCTCCTTTGATCTCCACACCCCCTTGAGTTTATGACAAGACCTTCACATCCCCCTTGAGAATATTGAAAGATTTCAGCAAAACCTTAAGTAAATGACAAGTACAATTTTTTGGGAACAAAGAGGTTACAGTGATAACTGGAACTAATTAAACACAAAATAACAACCAGCTAAAAAAGAAGATAAAAAAGAAAAAAACAAAGAAGCTTTTATTCTGCAGGGAGTCTGTTACTGATGTAGAATAGAATACAAAACTTAAAACCCAACAAAGATATCATATAATGGACAAATATAATGTTACCGACAAATGCTTACCCATCCTGCAAGCCTTTCTGTTTTCATTTTCTGCTCAAACAGTTGAATTTGCTGAGGGAGAAACACAAGCTTCACTTAATCGCATGCATGAAAACTACAGCTATACAACTTTGGAGTTACATGATTTTTATGGAACATTAAAAGTGAAGAACATCTAATAAAATAAATCCTTATCACGGAAGGTTAGAAACAAATATTTATCCCATGCTACACAGAGCCACTGTAAACCTATGGTTGTAAATTCTTGACAATTAATAAACAAGTCAAACAATGTCTTGAGATCTGAGAGATGTAGTTTTACAAAAGAATGCTTCAAATTCCATTTACAGCCAAAAACGAGTAACTTAGATATTTTGAATGATGCAAGAGCCCAAAGACTATGTATCATAAACATCAGAAAAAGACAGCCATCATTTTGTTGCCATGTTATGAGAAGAGGAAAACAGGACTATGTGACCAGCAGAAAAATGTATGGAAAAAAGTAGCACAGGAAGACAATGCGAAAAACAAAATCTGTAGTGTTTTGTACTGGGGTGAAGGGGCGTAAGCACATAGGACTATCATTGATGATAGGAGGCTGCAGGTTGTGAAAGGGCACGGTTGCCCACCCCACTCAGCAAGGTCGTTGATGAGAATGATAACAATGATGATATGGAACAAAATATAATTGAATGAGTTCTTGCATGTGTCACTGAATGTTATTGGGCCAAAGGGTGAGAACTTGAGGGATACTGAAACAGCAACAATAATAACACATAACTGAAATGTGATTATATATTTCAAAGTATTTATTGGTACACTTCTTCTTGTTCTTCTCTAGTGTTCTGGCTTTCTGCATCAGAATTTGAAGTAGCATCAGATTTTTGAAGTGGTGTCAGGTTCAAGCTTTGTTGCTGCTACGCAGAAGGACTGTGTAAAACCAACACCAGCATTCGTTGTTTTTTTTGTTGTAATTTTCCTGGGCCATTTTACATTCATTAGTTTGCCACTGCTTTCTGAATGGTCAGCTCTTGATACTACTGTCAAAACCAGGGAAAGATGTTTAGTGATTAGTAAGGGTTATCATCACAGCACTCTGGACAGATCCATAGGTGCTTTGATCTCCTCATCAGTTGCTCCATAAGTGTAAAATGACAATGACACCTGTTCTGTGTTGATTAAAGATACGTCTAGTCCTCTTAGTTTTTATAAGGAGTAGAAAATTATAGGGAAGAGAAAAAGTTGGTAAGAAACAACAATTAGTTTATGTTAGATTTACAAAATCGATCACAATAAACAAACAAAGGACGCTGCGGCGATTAGCCTTCATCAGCACATAAAGGACAACACAGTACACATACACAAATAGGCTCTAACTATGAAGTGACTCTGTAAAATATTTAGGGCTAAATCAGTAGCTACCTGTCTAAGGTCATCCGGTAAGACTAAAACTAAAAATTATGTGGGATCTAAGTGAACTAAAAGTGGCCGACGCAGTAGCCATGGAAATGGACAGGAAATACTGTAAAGGTAATAATAGCGTGGCGAAACAAGAAAGCTAAGGATAGGGGAATAGGGTCTAACACAAATACTGTACGCTAGAACCTACACATGAACAGCAACAATAGTAACACTGAAATAAGGTAAACTCAATTAGCGCCACAGTAACACACAGACAAGACCATAAGATGAGTTGCAGTATGAGGGTGGTGATAATATATATCGGCAAATAGGGTGACTGCGGTAAAGCTATAATAAGTTTTTATAAGGAGTAGAAAGTTATAGAGAAGCAAAATGTTTACTTCTCGTAGCTCTAGGCTGTACCCTCATGTCCATCAGCCTATAGAGAGATACTGAGTAATGTCTTTTGGGGTGCTTCTCAATACATTAAGTGCAAGGTGTTTTAAAGAAAAGGATGGATCAAATCCCTGTCAGTGTAGTGTACAGGATCTCTAGCCTTCTCAGATAACTGTGAAGGTGTGGGAAGCAACAACAACAACAAAAAACTACAGAAGATGTTAGGATATTAAATTTGTGAAAGTAGATAAAAATTGAATTGAAAGGCTGAATAAACAGGGGATCAGGCAACATTTCAAATGAAGGAACACACTCAGAAAGAGTTATCAGAAATGTGATTCCAGCACACACACCGAGTGACACATTTGAACTCTTTCAGTGCAATGTGCTGATATTCTCTTCATGATAAAAACTGGAGTGACTGCAGTCAGGCTACTAGCAAGAAATAAATCCACTGAACCATGACTAGGAAGCTTAACAAAGAGAAGGGGAACAACATGAATTCATGTGACCATTCTGTGAGGAGCCTGGTGGCGGGGATAATCTGCCCATTGTTGTTGTGATTTATGTTGATAAAGGCTGTGGTCAAAAAATCATTTTGTTTTGTATGTTTACACTGTTTCCCTGCCCCCTTTTGGTAAGTTTTTAGTCATATTTCAGAGAATTAATTTTTTTGCTATTCTCTTTGTCTAACTTATGTCAGGACACTGGAACACGTACAGAGACAATTAACCCAAGTGCAAAAAAACTGATCTTTCGTAAAACATAATCAGTTAACTGATTCTATATAACCTGATTAAAACTATGAGGGTTAAACAGGATATTATTTAAGTGAAAAAATACTACCATAAACAATTCTTTATGAAAGAAGTAACTGTTTGGATCCCAAGCAAAATATTGTGCGTAAATGAGTAGCTAACCTATTTTTTAAATTTTCTCTAAATTCTTTTATTCCACACACAAATATACGTACTCGTAATTCTTTTTAATAATTGTACCTCTTCCATCCCTTTACATCTGTTACTATGGACAATTGAGTTCTACATGCTATTTTAACTCCTATTTTTTAAGAACCGCAATCATTTTACAATAATAGGTGTCTGGGACCGAACAAGTTAAACCAAAATCAAAAGACAGCTCCAGATTGATAGCCGACATTATAAATCACAGGTACGATCTGCATGTGGACCTGACCTACCTGAAGTGCCTGTTTTTCCAGCGTCAGGGAGTTGCTTGAGATGGCATTGCCACTGATGGCTTCTTTCTTCCGTGCTTCATGCTGAGCCAGAAGGCTGCGTCTGTTCATAGAAAAGGACAAATGCCTCTGACATTATAAATTAACTTGCAGAGATGCTATTTAGTGTAATCATACTGTGCTGTTGCTATGTGTAAAAGGACTGTGCTTTTGCTATGTATAAAAGCACTGTGCTGTGGCTATGTGTAAAAGGACTGTGCTGTTGCTATGTGTAAAAGGATTGTGCTGTTGCTATGTGTAAAAGGACTGTGCTGTTGCTATGTGTAAAAGCACTGTGCTGTTGCTATGTGTAAAAGCACTGTGCTGTTGCTATGTGTAAAAGCACTGTGCTGTTGCTATGTGTAAAAGCACTGTGCTGTTGCTATGTGTAAAAGCACTGTGCTGTTGCTATGTGTAAAAGCACTGTGTTGTTGCTATAAAAGTAAATGTAAAGGTCTCTTTACATGCCAGTGGTGTATCGGGCATACGAGGCTAGACATTTTTTTTCACCCAACAACCTTTAATGGGTGATGTCGTCAACATCATGCTGACCACCTTTACTTTCCAGGACTTTACCTGTAACCTATTTAAAGTTAGGTTGACCAGAGAGCCAAGGTCATGTTTGAAACAAATGTAGTCACATTGTGGATTTGAATCCATGACCTTCAGATCTGCAGGCAAGCACCTAGTCACTAAACCATGACAGCTCCCATGCTGTAGTTATATATAATCAAATAGTGATAATTTTATGTGCAGTTGTTTAACAGTTACAGTATATAAGATAATAAAATTAGAATAATCTAAAATAGGCCCGGAAAATTACTAGTAGGTAAACTGGGCCAGTATGGTATTACCCACATCATCCGCAAATATTGAACTGGTCTACAAATATGGAATCATAACACAATGCCACGACACCTCAGTGTGTTTTTAATTTATAAAATTAAATATATGGAAATTAGGACAACATTATAAGTGGTAAATTTGGCACTGAAATATAGAAAAAAAAAAGTAATGTTAGTTACACCTTGTAAATGCTTCTTATATAATATGTATAGCACATTATAAGCCAAAGTTAAAGTGGAGAAAAACGACTTTTGTGCACCAGATTTGATCCCATATGGCTCCTCTGTCTCTTTACACAGAATGGCTAGCTGCCTGCTAAAAGCGGCACACAAAGCACGAACTCCGTAGATTCAGCGATGATCCCCAGGGATCTCCGTAAAAAATGGGCTTGTGACCTGAAAAACGCATCTGTGAAACAAACCCCCATTCTTCTCAGCGTGAAGCAAAACTGTTCAACCACCTCGCCATGGACACCCATACAAACATTATTTGTCATCTAACAGACAAAACATATTTAAAGATACTGTACTTATACAATCCTCAAATATGAGCTAACAGCTACAGATCTTTAATAAGTTATTGCAAACATCAGTTTTCACAAGAAATTAAATAAGTGAACACAGTAAACATAAAAACTATTTCCCTGTTCTTGAGATGAAACAATTAAACCAAAAATATGTAGAAGAATTATAATATATTTTAAAAAGTTATTTGCCTATCCTTTACAGGACGTTGCAGAACTAACCCTAGCATTTATTGACTGTAGTGGTTTTTCTAAGCAAGTTTTACATTTACTAGTTTGCCATTGCCTTCTGAACAGTACCACTGTCGAAACCAGTGCAAGACAAATCTAACCCAACATCCCAGCATTATGAAGCGCATTCGCCATGTCTAAGCTGCAGATGTCGACATACTTTTAAACTCTGCTTTAGAAAGGATTTGAAATACATAAACAGTTGGTTAGAAGATAATCATGTCAATCACTGTGCTACCATTTTTCACTGTGCTACCATTTTTCACTGTGCTACCATTTTTCACTGTGCTACCATTTTTCACTGTGCTACCATTTTTCACTGTCCTACCATTTTTCACTGTGCTACCATTTTTCACTGTGCTACCATTTTTCACTGTGCTACCATTTTTCACTGTGCTACCATTTTTCACTGTGCTACCATTTTTCACTGTGCTAACTGTGCTACCATTTTTCACTGTGCTACATACTGTGCTACCATTTTTCACTGTGCTAGTGCTACCATTTTTCACTGTGCTACCATACTGTGCTACCGTTTTTCACTGTGCTACCATTTTTCACTGTGCTACCATTTTTCACTGTGCTACCATTTTTCACTGTGCTACCATTTTTCACTGTGCTACCATTTTTCACTGTGCTACCATTTTTCACTGTGCTACCATTTTTCACTGTGCTACCATTTTTCACTGTGCTACCATTTTTCCAGTGAAAGATAACATAATTAACACACAAAACTGTTAATATATTCACAACTGCTGATGACAAAATCTTGTTATGTTCACAACTGGGTATGTTCACAACTGGGTATGTTCACAATTGGGTATGTTCACAACTGGTTATGTTCACAATTGGGTATGTTCACAACTGGTTATGTTCACAATTGGGTATGTTCACAACTGGTTATGTTCACAATTGGGTATGTTCACAACTGGTTATGTTCACAACTGGTTATGTTCACAATTGGGTATGTTCACAACAGGTTATGTTCACAATTGGGTATGTTCACAACTGGTTATGTTCACAATTGGGTATGTTCACAACTGGTTATGTTCACAATTGGGTATGTTCACAATTGGGTATGTTCACAACTGGTTATGTTCACAACTGGTTATGATCACAGGGAAAAGTGTTATTCACACAAATGTCTATCTCTAAAGCTTGGAAAACACATTCAGCCTGGAAAATGAGTCAATGAAAGCTAAGAGCCTGGAAAATGAGTCAATGAAAGCTAAGAGACTGGAAAATGAGTCAATGAAAGCTAAGAGACTGGAAAATGAGTCAATGAAAGCTAAGAGCCTGGAAAACAGTCAATGAAAACTAAGAGCCTGGAAAATGAGTCAAGGAAAGCTAAGAGCCTGGAAAATGAGTCAATGAAAGCTAAGAGCCTGGAAAATGAGTCAATGAAAGCTAAGAGCCTGGAAAATGAGTCAATGAAAGCTAAGAGCCTGGAAAATGAGTCAATGAAAGCTAAGAGCCTGGAAAATGAGTCAATGAAAGCTAAGAGCCTGGAAAATGAGTCAATGAAAGTTAAGAGCCTGGAAAATGAGTCAATGAAAGCTAAGAACCTTTAAAATGAGTCAATGAAAGCTAAGAGCCTGGAAAATGAGTCAATGAAAGCTAAGAGACTGGAAAATGAGTCAATGAAAGCTAAGAGCCTGGAAAACAGTCAATGAAAACTAAGAGCCTAAAATGAGTAAAGGAAAGCTAAGAGCCTGGAAAATGAGTCAATGAAAGCTAAGAGCCTGGAAAATGAGTCAATGAAAGCTAAGAGCCTGGAAAATGAGTCAATGAAAGTTAAGAGCCTGGAAAATGAGTCAATGAAAGCTAAGAACCTTTAAAATGAGTCAAGGAAAGCTAAGAGCCTGGAAAATGAGTCAATGAAAGCTAAGAAAAATGAGTCAATGAAAGCTAAGAGCCTGGAAAATGAGTCAATGAAAGCTAAGAGCCTGGAAAATGAGTCAATGAAAGCTAAGAGCCTGGAAAATGAGTCAATGAAAGCTAAGAGCCTGGAAAATGAGTCAATGAAAGTTAAGAGCCTGGAAAATGAGTCAATGAAAGCTAAGAACCTTTAAAATGAGTCAATGAAAGCTAAGAGCCTGGAAAATGAGTCAATGAAAGCTAAGAGACTGGAAAATGAGTCAATGAAAGCTAAGAGCCTGGAAAACAGTCAATGAAAACTAAGAGCCTGGAAAATGAGTAAAGGAAAGCTAAGAGCCTGGAAAATGAGTCAATGAAAGCTAAGAGCCTGGAAAATGAGTCAATGAAAGCTAAGAGCCTGGAAAATGAGTCAATGAAAGTTAAGAGCCTGGAAAATGAGTCAATGAAAGCTAAGAACCTTTAAAATGAGTCAAGGAAAGCTAAGAGCCTGGAAAATGAGTCAATGAAAGCTAAGAGCCTGGAAAATGAGTCAATGAAAGCTAAGAGCCTGGAAAATGAGTCAATGAAAGCTAAGAGCCTGGAAAATGAGTCAATGAAAGTTAAGAGCCTGGAAAATGAGTCAATGAAAGCTAAGAACCTTTAAAATGAGTCAAGGAAAGCTAAGAGCCTGGAAAATGAGTCAATGAAAGCTAAGAGCCTGGAAAATGAGTCAATGAAAGCTAAGAACCTGGAAAATGAGTCAAGGAAAGCTGAGCCTGGAAAATGAGTCAATGAAAGCTAAGAGCCTGGAAAATGAGTCAATGAAGGCTAAGAGCCCAGAAAATGAGTCAATGAAGGCTAAGAGCCTGGAAAATGAGTCAATGAAAACATCACCAGAAATGGATGTGGATGTGCTGTCTGAAATTTGCTACTACGGAAAGCAAAAAAGCTAATTGTTAATACACCTACAAATACAGTACTGGTGCTCACCTCTCTAGGCAATTACTGCATTAAATATTACTTTAGCACACAGTTAATTGTATTAGTTTTAAAAAACATAATACTCTAAATAATATTTTTTCTGTCTCCTCCTCCTCTTGTGTGTATTATTTATCTTCTTCTTCTTCCTCCTCTTCTTATTTTTTTTCTCGTTCTCCTTCTAGTTATCCCAACAAGATAATAATTATTTTGTGTGTACATTTACAAAAACTGTTTTATCCATTCTGCTGACACGCTCAGTTTTCAATACATGCTATCTGGACATTCTAAAACGTTTACAAACACTCAACAAATTTCACAAATTTTAAAACATTTTTCAAGACAGTGGTTATTCTGGTCTTTATTTTCACATAAAACATGCACATAAACTGCATATTTAAAGTCATTGCTTTCTGAAAAAGCTAAACATCAAATACAGTACCCAAAGATGAGGAATACCAAGAGGTAGCAAGATCAGAGCTTTTAAAAATTATTAACGAAAGGGAACAAAATCTTTGAATCTTTAACCATGACCAGATTTTAAGAAAAAAATGTTAAAACAGGTGTGGGAAGACAACAGCTCTATGCAGAAAGTCAAAGAAGAAAAAGAAACCTACAGAGAACTGGTGTCA